ATATTACCTGTATGTTGTTCTGCATTTCTTCCTTTTTAGTTCCTCTTTTTTTTTATTAGTTTCCATCCATTGTTTTGTGTTTTGTGATGCTGTGGAAAATAAATTGATCCCCTTTTTCTTAGTGGCAGCCCCTCAAATACTGGAACACAGCTATCATGTCTCCCTTAGTCCTTCTTTTCTCTAGAGTGGCCATACCCAATTCCTGCCCGCAACCGTTCTTCATATGTTTTAATCTCCAGGCCTTTACTTGTCTTAGTTGCTCTTCTTGGCACTTTTTCCAAAGTCTCAAACATCTTTTTTGTAATGTGGTGACCAAAACTGGATGCAGGATTCCAGGTGTGGTCTGACTAAGGCTTTATAGAGTGGTATTAGTACCACACTTGATCCTGATTGTATCCCTCTGTTAATGCAATTTAAAGTGGTACTAATACTTCATGTGATCTTGGTTCTATGCCTCTGTTTACACAACCAAGGATTATATTAGCTTTCATGGCTGCTGCCCCATATTCAAGGGATGGTCCACTAGCACTCCAAAGTCCCTCTCACAGTTAGCTGTTTTTGAGCCAGCTTCCGCCTAATCTGTACTTATACATTTGACTTTTCCAGCCTAGGTGTAGAACCTGGCTTTCCTTCATGTTCTCCACAAATCATGGCCTCTATATCTCTGGGTTAGGAGATATAAATATGTTCAGGGCTGGGCTGCTACCGGTTCGCTATTCTGCACCACGCAAAGCAGCTGCGCTTCAGATTCTGGCCATAAAAGTGAGTATGGGAGCCCGGGCGGGTGAGCCCCAACACAGAGCAGCAGAGAGAACCGGTTCTGTCTCTGCTGCTCATTGCCGCTACCGGGTCTCCAGAACCGGGCAGAACCGGTCAAATACCACCACTGAATATGTTGCATCTTTTTTGCAGAATGTAGAATTTCAAATTGACACCAGAAGTGAGGGACGTCTGAGAAAAAAAACCCAATACTTTTGTGATGTTCTTCTCTTGCCTTCAGCTAGAGATCCACAATGTTTTGAAGTTAGGAACTATCTTGGAATTTTAACAGAACCTAACTGATGCCCGAATCCACCTTCTCAAAGTTTCCTTTTTAGGGTGTCCGTGGATAGAGATGGATACTGTGAACTGGGCTTTTCAACAAGCTCTTGAAAAAGTTCCTCCTCTAAGTCTCTTAGCAGTCACAGGGTAAGGGGACTTTTTATGTGGTGAAATCAGAAAGCAAGAAGTGGGATTTAAAAAGGAGGGAGAGGGTTCTTGAGAAAGGAATTTAGAAGTTGCTGCTTTTAAATTGTTCATGAATTACTTTGGCTTGAAAGCATTGAACATTTCTGGAATGATAGCAACCTTTTCAGGGAATCAGAAACCAAAAATGATTCTGAACCATTCCAGAAAGATCTCTTTGAACCCCGTGAAAGGTCAACAGAAGGGCAAAAGCCATTTGTAAGTAAGGAGCCACAGATGTTTTGGCTGTCCCACCAAACAGTTGCCATCAGCCTCCTCTTTGTCTATAGATAGTTTGGTCTGATGTTGGGGGGGTCTTTTGTAGCACAGCTATCAGGTAAGCTTATTGTCTTGTATGTTGTGTAAAAATGTGAGCAGGACCATTCAGTTTCTGTAGAGCAGGCCTAGTTGTGAGCCATGATTCACTTCACATCTATGTTATTAATTTTACACTTGCTGTTATTCAGTTAATGATTGTGGCAGAAGAGATCATAAAATGCAGCAAAACTCACTAAATGTCTCACTTTACAACATACATTTTGGGCTCAATTCCATAGTTGCATTAATTTTTGCTGCTTTGACTCTTGGCAGTTATCCTGATAAGTCCTGCATCATTTATTGGCATACTTTGTTTTATCTGTACAGCTTGACCTTGCCTTCTCATTCCTGGGGTGAGAGAGAAGTCTGGCCTAAGATCATCCAGTTAGTTTTATGCCTAAGGCAGGACTAGAACTCAATATCTTCTAATTTCTAGTCTAGTGCTTTGAACCAGTGTGCCTAAGGTGCTCACATAGTAGTACCAGAGGCCACAAGAAAGTTCAGTGTTGATATCTTCCATCCAGGAGCTAGCAGTTAAGACACTGGGCTGTCGACTGGAAGATCAGCAGTTCTAGACCCAAGTAGTAATGTGTGATGAGGTGAGCTTCCATTCTTGTCCAAGCTCTGCCAACTTAGCAGTTTGAAAACATGTAAATGCAAGTAGATAAACAGGTGCCACTTCAGTGGGAAGATAACAGAATGAGCCGTGGTGTCACAGTGGTTAAAATGCAGGCTACTTCTGCTAACTTCTGCCAACTGCCTCCAATTTGGCCGTTCGAATCCCACCAGGCTCAACGTTGACTCAGCCTTCCGTCCTTCTGAAGTCAGTAAAATGAAGACCCAGATTGTTGAGGGCAAGTAGGCTGACTCTGTAAACCACTTAGAGAGGGCTGTAATGCACTATGAAGAGGTATGTTAGTCTAAGTGCTATTGCTATCCTGTATGCCTGAGCGTATAATCATGCTGGCCACCTGACTACAGAAGTGTTTTTGGACAAAGCTGGCTCCCTTGGCTAGGAAATGGGGATGAGCACCATTTCCTGGAGTCAGACTTGACTGGACAGGGTAAATCTTTACCGATCTTCTGTCTTTTGGAGCCTAAGGCACACCCATTAGTTATATCTTGAATCAGATCCTACCTTGTTTTAAAAAAATCTTCCTCGTTTTTTTTTTCCTCTGCAAACCAGGCTCCGCTGTGATTCAGTGAAAGTATGGCCCTTGTACGAAGACGTGTCCATGACGATGCATTTGAAAAAAAAGTCAGACATCATTTCAACCAAGGACTATGTGAGTTAACCTCTGTGGTCAATTGTCTGTACCTAGCAAAAGAAGATGTTGACTTTTACATAGATCTAAAAGAGCACATCGAGAAGGCGAAGGAGGAATTGGGCAAGACAGAAGAATTGGTTCTATGGGACCTGAAGAATGTGGATTCAATGACTTCTGAGATTATGGTCTCAAAGAAAAAACTCATGGATGAACAGAAAGCCAAAGAGAACGAGCTTGTCAATTTTCAGAACCTGCGGAAGGATTTGCAAAGACGCGGTGAGTTGCAAAGAGAAGATTATGAACGCCAAAAAGCTATGAAGGAAAAGGCAAAAATGGATAGAGAAGCAGCAGTGGTTGAAATTAGAGAACAAGGAATGTGGACAAATAAGGCCTTTCGGTTGATGTTGATGCCAGTTGTGGGAATTGTTGGTGAGTATTAATAATGACACCCTAAATATGTCAAAAGCATGCTTTGAAAGAAATACCTTGGGGTGCTCAGGAGCACAAGAGATTGATCTCTCATTAAAGCAACCACATCTCTTTTAGGCTTCCGTGGAGTTGACCCAAATGAGTCACACTGACCCCATATGTCAGGGTTCCAAGTAATACACCCCATAACAAGCAGAACTCTGAGGCAGACAATTTCCTCAAAGAACAAGTTTATTGGATATATCATATTGGCACAGGCTGGTGAAAACCGACTCCAAAGGTTCCCGCGGTTTTCGCCTAATTAAAAGTTTTCTCCCTTTCCCCAAAAAAATCAGTTGCAGGGTCCAATCAAAGTGCTGTCTGGTTGCTTGGGAACTTCACTCTTCTTGGCTTTCTGCTTATGATTTCACAGAAAGCATTAGGCCTTCATTTAGATTTTTTTTTATTATAGGCCTTTTTATCCTAATCCTTTGTTATTTTTATAAATAACATTTAAGGCAGCGAACATACCTAACACTCCTCCCTCCTCCTATTTTCCCCACGACAACTCTGTGAGTTGGATTGGGCTGAGAGAATGTCTAGTTTAAAGTCACCCAGCAAGATTTTATGCACAAAGCAGGACTAGAACTCACAGCCTCCTGGTTGCTAAGCCACCACCTTAACCACTTCATCAAACTGGGTTTCTAGTTTTCTACTGCCTTCTTCTGGTTTCTCTATTTTTCATTGCTACTGAACTTTGCTACCCGACTTTGTTCAGCTTCCAAAGCTACAGGTGGGAGAACTCACCATAGCCACGTCACTGCGGCCAACACATTATGGCCAACTCAACGCAGCCAATTCTCTGTGCAATGGTGGGATTCAAACATTTTTTACGACTGGTTCTGTGGGCGTGGCTTGGTGGTGTGGTGTGGCTTGGTAGGCATAGCTTGGTGGGCATGGCAGGGGAAGGATATTGTAAAATCCCCATTCCCTTTCCACCCCACTAACCTGCTTTCCTGCTCTGTTCTCCTTTGCAGGGCAACAAAAGAAGACCCAGCCAATCAGTTAGGACTCTGGAGGCAGAGAATAGGTGGGAGAGGGGCTAGTCAGAGATGATATTGGCCGGTTCTCCAAACTACTTCAAATTTCTGCTACTGGTTCTCCAGAACTGGTCAGAACCTGCTGAATACCACCTCTGTCTCTGCAGGCAACTCGCCATGGCGAACTTGCCACGGGACAGCTCAACAGGACAATTCAACAAATACAAAAGTTAAATTAATTTCAACTGTGGCCAGCAATATCAAAATAAAGAATTACAATAATTTTAACCAGAACATAGTCAACAGTAATACAAGTAACTGAATGAAACTATTAATACAGTGTTAAATTGTCCCACAATGAATTGTCCCATGGTGAGTTGGCTGCAATGAATTGGCTGTGGCGATTTGTCCAAGGTCCCCAAGCTGAGACACGGTAGTTCAGCTGCTGCCACAGTTAAAGAGCAAGGAATCATCATCATACAGACTTGAACACTGGGCCCTATCTAACAAAATGAAATTCAATGTAGAGAAAAGTAAAGTCCTACACTTAGACAAGAAAAACCAAAAGGACACATATAGACTGGGTGAAACCAGGCTCAATAGCAGTAACTGTGAGAGGGATCTTGGAGTCTTAGTGGACAACCAACTAAATATGAGCCAGCAGTGTGCGGCAGAAGCCAAAAAAGCCAATGCAATCCTAAATTGCATTAACAGAGGGATACAATCAAGATCAACTGAGGTACTAATACCACTCTATAAAGCCTTAGTAAGACCACACCTAAAGTACTGCATCCTGTTTGTCTCCACATTATAAAAAAGATGTTGAGACTCTAGAAAAAGTACAGAGAAGAGCAACCAGGATGATTAGGGGACTGGAAACTAAAATATATGAAGAATGGTTACAGGAACTGGGCATGGTTAGTCTAGTGAAGAGAAGGACCAGGGGAGACATGATAGCAGTCTTCCAATATTTGAGGGGCTGCCACAGGGAGGAAGGGGTCAAGCTATTTTCCAAAGCACCTGAAGGCCAGACAAGGAATAATGGATGGAAACTGAATAATGAGAGATTCAACCTAGAAATAGAAACTTTCTGACAGTGAAAACAATCAACCAATGGAACAGAAGTTGCCCTCGGAAGTTGTGGGAGTTTCATCACTTGAGACTTTCAAAGAGATTGGACTGCCATTTGTCAGAAATGGTATGGGGTCTTCTGCTTGGGCAGGGGGGTTGGACTAGATGACCTATAAGGTCCCTTCCAACTCTGATTGTCTGTTATCTGTTATCTAAACGTGCGTGGAATGGTCTTGGTTGGAAAAACTTGTTGGCTACATGTTACATCCCCTGATTTTGTCTTTGTCTCTTTATCAGTGGCTTCTCTGATTATCAACACTCTCAGGTCTCAGAAGGCGGCTGAGGAAAAGGCCGATGCGGCACAAAAAATGGTAAATGTTTATCATGCCAAGGAACAGAAGGCTCTGGACCAAGTTGCCAAATGTCAGAATCAGTTGAACAATCAAGAGAGTAAAATTAAGACAACCCAGAAGAATCTTGAAAAGATGGAAAAGCGAAAAAAGCAGCTAACCGACTTCCACAAGGTTGTTCTGAATCTGCAGGAGGCCCTTAGGGGCTGCTCTACCCTGGTGGGGACCTTGCATTCGGAGGCAAATGCGGTTCGGGTGACAAGCCAGTATGTCTTCATTTACGATGCCTTGAAGCCTCAAATCGATAGTATCACTCATCACATGCGTCCGTTCCTGGATGCGAAAAACCCTGAGCACTGGCTGATGGACTGCCCCAAGATCAGGCGAAGTATCAAGAAATTGCAATTCTTCTCTGAGACCTCGAGTACTTTGGCCAAAAATACTTACACTCTTAAGGAAATGCTAGATGACGAGGACATCCGTAGGTACTTTGTCATTGGTTTTGTCATCCTGGCCTTGCTCTGGGCAACTGGCTTTTTGTACAAAATCCTTCTGGTTATTTTAATTGGCTGTATCGTTTTCTGTTGCCTCGCTTAGTAGATCTCTGTTTAAGGAGCACCTCCCATTCTGTGTGATGACCCGGGGCGTGGCACAAAAGCAACCAAGTCACAAAAATAGGTAAAGTCCTTTTAATTCCTCCAACTTGGCCCCCAATGTCCAGCTATCATCAGCTGGAGGAAAAAACTCCCCCAAGAACAGTTTCTAAAGGGAAGAAATTCAGTCCAAACCCAAAGTATATATAAATTATGAATAAAAACCAACACAAGCCACGCTGCAGCAAATAACGAGACAGGGCAGGATAAGGAATTGAAGACTTCGAAAGATAACGAAACACACACAGTTGAGGGGATGCCAGAACCCAGATAAGACTTGACAAACAAAGATAACGCACGCTTTGCTTCCAGCAAGGTCTTGTGCTCAAACGCCCTTTTAAAATCCTGTTTTCCCAGCTGCAGTTAATGAAGGGAATCAGGGCCCTTTTCTCCCCCATAACTCACATTGCTCCCTTCTCCATTCCTCCCTGCATGCCCTAGGATGAAGAGGGGTGGCCCTTGGTCTTCCTCTGAATGCCCAGCCAGACTGCCCTTCCCTGGTTTCTTCCACAGCTACTGGAACCACACTCCCACTCCCTGTTAGCTGCTCAACCTTCCCCTCAGAATCAGATTCCAACAGGGGCACGACATTCTGTGAATCTGCTCCAGTGTGGGTAGTCCTCGACTTACCACCACAATTGAGCCCGAAACCTATGTTGCTAAGTGAGAAATTCCTTTTCTTGCCACATTTGTTAAAGC